TTTTGTTGATGTTATAAGAATATCAATTGAAATAATTTCTATTACATTCCATAGTAATATATTAAATAAAAAGTAAAAGCCTATTGGTTTAAAAATATCTTGAATGACATCATAAGAAAAGATTATAATTAGGGGGTTAAAACTACTTCAATTTAATTTTAAAAATCTAAATGCAGACTTTAGATAATTATTCGGTATGCGCATTCAAATCTGTTTACTTTTGCTAATAAAAGTTGATATTTAAATACTTTATATGCAATAACTAATTTCAAAGACCAAAAATACGGAGAAAACTTTTAGAGTTAATGAGTCGAGCTTTTGAAAAGGTTAATCAATCATTAAACAAGAGTACCCAGTTATCCATTTCAGAATTTAAACTTGACTAATACTCTGGTCAGAAACGAGTATCCGACATAAAAAATAATTCTTTCAGAAATAATGAAAATAAGATTTCAAAACTCTTACTTCAGCTATTATAGGTTTAAAATGAACTAATACTATAATATCTTTTAAAGCCAATAACTTGAAAAAAGTCTCCTCGACTTTATACTTGTCAAAATACTACGATAAAATGTGATAAAGCTTTATTATAAATTTTTTTGAAACCTTTGCAGACTCACGTAACAGTTTTTAAAATCTTTGTCAGATAACTGACTATAGTCAAACCATAGTCAGGGGCAAGGCCGCTGTACTCCCCCCCCCCCCCCTGTGTCGTCAGCTTTTTTTTTTAATGTGCCACAAGAAGTCCTTACGGTCTTATCACAGAGCACCGCGGAAGAGCATTTAATAGGAAGTTCAAGCTTCCTTCCCAACCGATGTCGCATAACTTGTCCAGAAGTGGGGTTTGAACCAAGGATCTTACGTTTCTGAGGCAAGTGGGGGGGGGTGTGTGCCTTGCCCGCCTACTTTTTTTCAAAAGGACTTTGTTTTTGTTTTGTTTTAAGAAAACTCTTGATATAGAGGACTTTTTTAAAAATTGAAGATTGTGCCCCTCCATTTTAAAACCTGTGTCGTCGGCCGTGGACTAAGATTTTTAAAACTATTACGTGATACTGTTGAGTAGTAGGTTATTTAAAAATACTAGTTCAAATCCGGTCACATTGATCCAAAAGCATTGATTACTTTAGCACGAAACTATCTTGTCAAAACAGGTTTTGATATCCGAACCTTTAGCAATTTTTTTTCAGACAATATCTTTAAATAAAAGAGTACTCTATAATAATATATAACGTCATAAAATAGCAGGTATCCGTAGCGGGATTCAAACTCCGGTTCAGCCAGCTTAGCGTTAGAGTAGAACTTTTGCAAAACTCGTCTCTACTATTGTAATATTTCCTTCACAATTAGTAAAATAAATAAAAACTAATTGTTTAAAAAAAAGGATCATTAATCGTTAAAGTCATGAAACTCTTTTTAAATTTATCGTTAAGTTTTTGCATTTCCCTAAATTTTGTAGAGCATAATAAATTTATAGAATATTTTAAAAAATCTATATTTTTAAACCAAATCTGCAATACCACTGCAAAAATAAAATTCTTTTTATATATTCAAAGTTAAAGTAGTACAAATTTTTATATAACATTATTAAGTTAAGATATTAATGTTTTAATATGTTGCATTATTATATTGATTCGTCAACTTCCAGAACTTTTTGATAACTATAGACAATCTTAATAAGTAAAATTTTTCTCAGTAAATTTAAAAATTAATACCAAAAAAATTATTTTATATTTTGTGAACAAATAAAGTTTACATTTATAAGAATTACTCAACTAACTTAAATCAAGATCAATGTTTGATGTGATTACTTACCAAACCTTACAGTGCCGTAGATAAAGCGAGTACTATTAAATTTGAGAGTGTTGTGGATAAAGCAATGTTTTCACATTATAAACTCCTTAGTAATTGAAAACTTTAACCTTAAATAATTTTCTTACTCTCTACTTTCACTGTACTGTCTCAGTGGGGCGGGTTGTAAAAAAGGATATCTTTGAAACGCCCGTTTTAGGTACCGTGCCCAATAAGATACTAACTGCATTATCTCTAGCTAATAACACTAGTTAAAAGTATAAAAATACCAGAATCACGTCTCGTACTTGAGTTAATCAAGTACCACAGCCTCGGACAATGCGCTTAAAATTTAAGTAAACAAGTTGTCTAAATCATCTTTTTCTTTGCTTGTTTGTGATACTCGAGGTTCTTTTCATTGCTTGCAATGTAATTAAATAAATTGAGTCACCATTCACCTTGTTTTTATTTTTCTCAATTAAGGTTGAGTACAATGTTTACAAATTTTGTAAATTAAGATATATAAAGATTGCTGGTACACACACAAAAAAAGCTTTAATAAAACGATCAGAGACTTGGCAATAAAACACAAAGTTGTCGCCAAGTCCCTTCTATTCATACATAAACTTTTATAAACACATTGTAACTTAAAAAAAAAATAATTAAAAAGCAAAAAACTTTGTGGAGAAGATTTTGAAAAATGTAGTCTTTTTTTATTTATTATTATTAAAAAAGTTCTTTTTAAAAGTTTAGTTGATAAAATTTTTGATTAGTTCATAGCAAATAACATGAAAAATTTATAACCAAGTTAAACAATTTTAAGTTAATATAATATAGTTTATATATAAACACAAATGTCTTAATACAATGTAAAAAATTTTATAGAGAAAAAATATATTTAAGTTGTCTGTCAATCGTTATTTTACTCTTCATCTTTTCTCTTCCAGTAACTTTCAACACTAATCAGTGGTTGCTTGCAGCCTTGTTGGAAGTGAAGATGTTAAAAATATATATATATATATATATATATATATATATATATATATATATATATATATATATATATATATATATATGTATATATATATATATATATATATATGATATATATATATATATATATATATATATATATATATATATATATATATATATATATATATATATATATATATATATATATATATATAAATTTATATTTAAAAATAGGATAAGAATTTAAATTTTGAAGCATTGATATTTTTTATTATTATTATTAAGGATAGCATAATTTACATCAGTAATTGAAGGCTTAAATCCGTTCCAAACAAAATATAATACAAATTAAATCACAATTTTTCAATATAGACCACTTAATATTCAGAATCAATATTTTCTTTTAACAATGGAACACGCTTGCATTCATTCACAACTTCATAAGTAGTTTCAAAATCAAATTATCTCCAAACCTCTTATATCTCTTTTTAGTTCATTCTAGCATATTTTATGTTTATTTTTTAACCTTTATTTTTTTCCCTTAACTTAATATACAAAAATTTTCATGCTTGTAAGCAGACGATTCTACGAGCAAAATAAGGGAGGAGGTGAATTCATAAAAAGTACCGACTGGATTCTGAAAAAAAAATGGTCCTCCATACGAAAATTTAACCGACTGAATTTTGTCAAATACCTGACTAGCCGACTAAATTCGTGGAAAAACCGACTATAACTTGAAAATCACCTTCTTCGGGAGGGTGTAACACCCCACACTCCACACACACCCTAACCATAAAATCGCCACAGCTTGTAAGCCTATTTTGTTTTACTAAAACTCTTGTCAGGTTTTTACAAATTACTAGTTAACTTTTTTAATTCTCTCCGAAGATAAGAATTTTTTTGATAAAAAGTTACGATTAAAAATGTTTATAATAAAGTTTAAAAAGTTAAATACAACTTAAAAAGTTATATAATGTGTTACCTGGCATACTCTCAAATAAAGATAAAGTATGACACACTCTCAAATAAAATACTTGACATACTCTCAAATAAAATTAAATACCTCATCAATTATAGTAATAGCTGAAATTAAACTTTTTCCCTCACAGAACCTGAAAAATCAGAGCTTTTTACTGATCCCTCACAGAACCTAAAAAAAATCGGAAATTTTCACTGATCCCTAACTGAGCCTAACCTTTCCATTTTTGTTGAATACGCAATTTTTTTGATATATCAAAACTTTATATACAAAATGAAATATTATATTGAAGCAACATATAAGTTCAAGTTTTTGTACATTTATCACAGTCTTGATATCTTAATTTTAATGCTCGATTAGTTTAAAGTTATTGAAGTTTGGACCTTTAAATATTGTACTAGAGATTTTTTAGATGCATTTGTTATCCAAAGCTGTCTTTGTTATCCAAACTGTTATTCAAAGCTGTCTTTGTTATCCAAACTGTTATCCAAAGCTGTCTAGATCTTTGTTTTCAAGACCTTGTAGCAGATACTTAGATCCATTTTTTAATTATTCAAGATTGTAAAACGCGCTGAAATCTGAAATCTGTTTTCCTAATACAAATAAATTCCAGATTCCAGCAAAATGAAAGCCATTTTTTAAATAATTATTTTGTTGGATCAAGGAAACTAGGATTACTTTATTTGCTTTTTAGTTATGAATAGAAAAGGATATTTTATTCGCTTTTTAGTTATGAATAGAAAGGATATTTTATTCCCTTTTTAGTTATGAATAGAAAAGTTTCCTCTAAAGTAGAGGAATGGTATAGAAGTTTAATTCAGAACATATCATGTTACGCAATAACGGATTATTAAAAAAAAATAAAACTAAATAAAATATCATTTCAAGTAATTTTGCATTTTAGTGTAAACGCACTTGTGGGAAAAACATAAAAAGTAAGATGCATTAACAATAACATGTAAAACTAAAACTTAAGCGGAAAATTTTCAAAAATCAATGTTTAACTAACAAGACATCGGACTATTTTATTATAATTCATTGGAATGTTGTGAAAGAACTCACCGGACTTAATAAATATATTATAGACGGAAGCAAGTGACACCGTCTATTATAATCAATAAGGTTTTTTGACGACCGTTATACTACTTTAATGACAACACCTATGTTTTATTTCCAATTATCTAATTCCTTTTTTATCTTTCAGTTTATTAAATTGTTTAGTTTTTGAAATATTAATAAAACTAAAAAAAAAAAAGTT